TCCTTGTCGGTTTCTCTTTAACGTAATCTACGACTCCGATTGGATTGTCATCATAATTTTTTATAAATTTAAATTACTATATTTTAAAATTTTCGGTTCCTAGGGTATAATGACAAGAACACTAGAACAGGTATCCAATATTTTTCGACCTAGTGTCACCAAAAATCTAGACTGATCGATCGATTCAAGCACACAAATTATTTAAGTGTTAACACTGACGATAAGTCAATTGGGAAAATTGACAATAAAGGGTCAAAATTCAAACTTATTTATTTCTATTTAATTCAATTTTTAGGCTTATTAAATGAACAAATATTTTTAATTTCATATGTCATATATGAGATCGAATAACGTAAGTTAGGAATTAAAAAGAACTGCAGAAAAGAGGCTTTGAGACATGAAGCAGGTTATTGAATCGTACTGTTGACAGTGACAAAGAGTCAATTAGGAAAATTAACAATCAAGTGATAAAATCCAGCCCATTCTTACGCGATAAAAAAGATCCATTGTGGTATTTCTAAAGGATTTCGTTTTCTACTGACTTCTGGTCGTTTTTTTGGTGGTTCTTAACCGGAACACGTTGGGTGGCCGGGCTTTTTCCACCAATGTTTTGTAACACTCTGGGTGGACATAGCGGACAATGGGATTTCACAGTTTAATATGTTTATTATGAATGATAATGTCAATCGAGGGCGTGCAACTCCCGGTCGGTGGCCTTTATTTTCACAACTAGAACGCACTAAAACGTAAAGATTTTTAGGCAACCAACGAGTTATAAATGAAATTTTATGAAGAAGAAGAAGAAAAATAACTTTATCCTGGGACTGGTGTCCCCTAAGAATAATTTACATGAAATAAATAAAGGAAGTTCCTTCTATGAAGTTAAAAGTAAAAAAAAAGATAGAAATCTTGGCACAATGTATACCAATAAGAAGAAGAAAAAATTACGAGAATATTAAACAAAAATAACACATGTTAACGTGAGGTCTCTGCTTGGAGGGAGAGGAGGTGATTATACAGGTGGGATTTAAAGGAGGAAAAGGAGGCTGCGGGACGAATAGAAAGGGGAAGGGAGTTACAGAGTTTAGGGCCTCGGATCAGAAAGGATCTTTCGAAGGTTTGGGTTGTATGTTGCGGAAGGATAAGGTCGATTGGGGATGAGCGGGTCTTACGTGTGAGATGTGAGGAGTTGAATTGGAGGGATTGGATGATGTAAGGAGGACGACGAGTGTGGATGGACTGGAAAAGAAAGCAACCTACGAAATACTGTGCACGGAAGGAGGGGAATAGCCAGGAAAGTTGGGAATACAACCCCGACACCCGGGATCCCCGTGGGGTGCCGTACACAAATCTTACGCAACAATTCATAATACGCTTCAATCGCGCGTTCTCCCCCTCCGAGAGACCACCGTATGCCAAACAGCTATAATCGAAGAAGGGAAGTATAAGAGAAGATAAAGGAGTTTGCGGGTGGAGAAAGGTAAGAGCATCCAGGACCGACGAAACAGGCTGAGGGAGGCAATGGAATGGCGGGAAATTTGGGAAATGTGACAATGCCAGGAAAGGTTTTGGTCAAAGACTACTCCTACAGTTTTTAACCGAAGAGCAGAAGGGGATGGGATGGTTATTTTGCATGAGAGGTGGGATGCTGGGGAGGGAATTGAGGAGTTGCCTGGACCCGATAATTATGGCGATGGATTTGGACGGATTGAGGACTAGGGAATTTTTATGGGCCCATTCGTTCATGGAGTGTAAGTCTTTTTGGATCTTGAGAATGGCCGAGTGAAGATCGGAAGGGTGGAAGGATATGTATATTTGGCCTATCGGCATATAGGTGATAATTACAGGCCTGAATGGAGTCGGGCAGATCATTGATATAAATGGAAAAAAGGATAGGAGAGATGCTAGAGCCTTGGGGCACCCCAGATTTTAGAGGGAGGAAGGAGGAGGTAAGGCCATTGGGAAGGGAGACAGCTTGGTGGCGATTGGTAAGTAGGAGTGGAACCAACTGACGGTGCTGGCGAAGAAGGAAAAAGATTCGAGTTTAGAGAGGAGAGAAGAGTGAGGGACAGAATCGAAGGCTTTAGAAAAATCAAGAAGGACAAGTATAGTAACTTTCCGTTGGTCCATTGCTAAGAGGAGGTCACTGGTAATTTTTATTAGTGCTGATTGGGTGGAATAACCTTGGCGGAAGCCAGATGGCAGGGGGTTGAGAAGATGGGTCTGTTCAAGGTGCCTGGAGACTTGTGACGTGAATCACTGAGTGGAAAATCTAGTAGACTTGATCTTCTTATGAGTTTTGATGAAAAATGATATAATATTAATGGATCGACCTGCAGATAATCTATGTAGGGTTGCAATCTTCGTAGAGGTCAGTATGACCTACGGGCTTTTTCGACACTTCGGCTTTTTTTTTTTTTTTTGGGTGGAAATAGCGAGCGGACAATGGGTCATTATGACCTCTACAAAGATTGCAATCCTACATAAAAATGAAATTTTTAGTACACTGGATGTTTAAAAACATTCAAAAATTTGAAGAAAATGATTAGGAGTAAACTTATCGCACATCGTTTTGTTCACTGAAGTTTACTATATATATTTCTCTTCTTTTTTCTTATTTTTCTAGTATTCAGCATAGATTTGTATGATCAGCTTTAGAAAAAGAAAACCTCTTTAAAAAATTCGTCCAAAGATAAATAAAACATAGAAAGCACTAAAGAAAAACTTGTATAATACAAGTTGGGCAGTATAATTGAAAAAGTGGTTTCGTGACTGAACAAGTCAACCGCACGAGAGCTTGTTTTCCACCGAAACGCCTTATTTCCCCAGTTCTACCCCATCGGTAATTAAACGCCCACAAGGTCAAATAGGAACTAAGGGGTCAAACGTTATGATTCAGCCCGTTTAAAGTGAAAGTCCTAGTTTTCATTAATTGGCCATCCTACCTCCCATAATTTTGCCTCACAATGGCGGATCGGACGGGGTAAAAGCGGCGTACCTTGTAATACGAAAGGGTCGTTAGCAATCAAGACTTTCTAAACAATTGGATATAGAAAACAATTGAAACTTGAAGACTAGCCTTGTGCGCTTTTACAAAACCGACATTTGTCCTCACCATTCAAACAACGGAACCTGTCAACCAAGTATGATGTCGGACAATTATTTCCACCTACAAATAGCATCAATGCTATCAGGAAAAGGTTTTGTGTGTAATTAAAATGTACTAGCCCACAATGACAAACAATCTATTGAACACAAATAATGATAAGGACAATAAAGCAAAAATAATTTAAAATAGTGGTTTATCCTAACCAATCATATATTAATATACATGAGGTTACAATGTTACAAGTTAATTTAACGTTAATTTCCTCGTTAACACCAACCGTTTAAATTGTCGTATTATTATAATTTTCTTTTCCATTGACCCATTGATTACCGATTTGTGAGTGACTACTGACTTATTTATACATTGTGTCCTGTTTAGATGGCCCAGCTGAATTTCTCTTGAACCAATATATTTAAAAAGAGTATTTAATATTTTTCAAATTTTTACCTTTTTCGAGAACAATTATCCAGGGTAACTCAGGCCAAGTACAATTGAAAAATTTCGAGTAAGCCCCTACACATCCTGATATCATTTTAAAGGATCTTTTACTCTGAAAACATTGATCCGATCCGATTTTAAATTGGTCAAAAAATGACAAAGTTATGGCAAAAAGAAACAGGCAGTGTAATTTCAACGAGGAGGTGAATATTTTACTGTATTCAATTAATTAATCTTTTTATGTAAGGGCTTAGTTCAAATGAAAAAGTCACGTGTCACGAGCGGGATTTGAACCCACGACCTTCGGCCGAGCACTAACTTTTTGATTTCAACTAAGACCTTACATAAACAGAATAATTGAAAGAAGTAATTCGGTCAATCAGACCAATAAATATAATGTATTTTCCTATATGATAGAGAAAATCCGAATTTTCTCTCTCCGAAATATTGGAAGGGTTTTAAGTTTTTCAAAAAATAAAATTAGATATGTCCTTCGGACTTACAATTTTAAGCCCTATCGCTCTCATCTTTCCAGGGACTTCGCCACTCTGATTATACAGGCGTCTAATAGTCCTTGCACAAATGTCGAACTGGGATGCTGAAGAAACCATTCTTCCGTATATCCTATGGACTGATGAATCCAAGGTCCTCTAATGGCATCCTAAACCGTTGGAATTTTCGAACGTTCTTTTCATCATCAGGTAGTTAACAGTATCAACGTTTGTTGTGGACTTCTCGGAAGTAAATTAATTGGGCCTTATTTCTATGAAAATGATTTAAATTGTGCTGTTACTCCAATTTTTGAGCGAGGTTTTACCAACACTATTGATTTTCCTCTGCAACAACGACAAAGATTGATTCTCCAGCTTCGTGGATGCCCCGCAAACAATTCTTTGCAGGTGAGACTGGGCCATTTAAAAAACAGTGTCTACGCCAATTATAGCCCAACAACCTCAGTTGAGGAACTAGGGCAAAGGATAGAAAATACTTGTCAATCCATCTCCCCTGATTCAATCGCTCTGAGCACAGGTGAGGAGTGGTTAAAAAGAGCAAATCTTTGCACTTTTACGCAAAGAAGGCAGTCCGAACTTGAAACGTAAAATTAAATGTAAAATAAATAGCAAACCAAATGACTGTTTTTTATTTTCTTCAAACGTTTTATCATAACTTCGGATTTTCGCGAACATACTGTAAAATATTCACCTCCTCGTCGAAATTACGTTGCCTGTTTCTTTTTGCAGTATCTTTGTCATTTTTTGACCAATTTATTTCTGTTTGCCATAATTTTGTCATTTTTTGACCAATTTAAAATCAGATTGTACGATTGTTTTCAGCGTAAAAAATCCTTTATAGGGCCTGAGGTACCCTGTATAGCTGTTCTCGAAAAAAAAAGGTAAAAATTTGAAACTAGACTAAAAATATTAACCAATTTTTGAAAGCGTTATTGGTTCAAGAGAAATTCAGCCGGGCCATAGAAAGGAATTCAAGTATAAGCTAAAATTTACACATGCATTCACCCATTGGACCTAACACTTTTCATAGCTCACCGGCAGTTCTCCAGCTTTTGGGTAATTTGCATTACCGACAGGGCTAGAGAATCAACCACCAGCCAGTTCGAGGGATTGGTCGGACTTCGGTTTTATCGGTTTTATCCACACAGCCACCCCGGGTTGGACTCCAGGGGCTATCAACGGCAGTTTAATTTCGGCCCCCAATGCAATCAGACTGAATCCAAATCCACCACTCTTAAATACATTATTTCTTTATATCTATAAGCTTTATATTCCGTAAAACAGCACTGTTTCCTCAAAAAATAGAAACAGAGGACTCTCATACTCGCTGCCGTGCTCAAGCACAATTCTCATATCGGGTGACATTCCAACACGCTGTCTATATGGAGTTAAGGAATTGCACCGTTCAACCTGACGCGTCGAGCAACTTTCTCTACATGCCGGACACATACGGGGGCTTTGGCCCAAAAGTAAATAACCTCGCATGTCCCCTCTCCTACGAGTCAGGTCCTCCGAGGACCACCTATCGACAGTGCTAGTGATACGCGCGAGGTTCTCTCCATCCGATCCGCCGACGTTATCATTTTCTTTTAATCGTGTTTTTATCGCATTTGTCAGGTGGTCGAGCCGAGTTCCATTTGATTCCTTACAATAATAATACTAAAACTACTATTGTTTATCTAGCACTTGAAACTGATTTACCACGGTGTTAGTTAATTTTGTACATGGCTGATTAATCCTCCACGTCCTAAATGTCTGGAGAAAGGATTATTCTGTTCTATTTTTTGAAGTGACCAAAATAATATCTCTACATGAATGTCGACTATTTTAGAACGAATGAATATACACCAATGTAGTATTATTATGCAATATTTTAGGTATCATCGTATTTTTATAGGATGATTTAATTGATATCCCATTTTATCCGCTGCGTATATTTTTCTTTAAATACAGGTATATGTCGGTTAAAACTATTGTTCAGTCTTTTAATTCATTAACTTTCATACGACTTTGCAATTGAACTTTTCTATAATTGTTTATTTACAACAAAATTATTAATTTTGTCTTATTTTGTTTGTTAACCCTCAAAAAACAGACCTCTTCCCATCTCAGTGTTCTTCTGCCCCACTCAGTGTGTTTTTTCGTCTCACCTCATGACAACACATTTTTTTAAATTTTCATTCGTGGACCCTCATTTACTTTAAGTCTTGTCCCTTAGTTAGGAGGGCTTAGGGAAAAAGCATTCGGCCTTTTTACAACCTTACGTACTTCGTTCAGCTCGAAGCTTTGTTAAGATGTATCAGTCCTTAGCTTTTCCTCTCCCATGAGTAAGGATAGGATTGACATAAACTGAGGGCATGTTCCGCTGTTTGTTCTTCTGATTGGCAAAATCTGCACGTACTTTACTGCTGCACCGTAGTTTCACTGTCCAACACGTCTTAACTTAAAAGTTATGTCGTTAGTTTCAGTGTTAGTCCTTTGTCAAGGAATACAATCCCGCAGAACCGAGGACTTATTATTAACTTAGACATCGGAGATAATTAAAATCCTTCAAATTATTTAGTCCATTAAAGTATAAGCTTTTTATATCATTGACTTATTTGTTTTATTAACTTCCGACATCAAGAAAAACGTTTCTTCCAACGTGTATATGGGGGTCTTACCTAGAATTACTGAGCAGCCGAGTATAAGGAGTATAGTGAAAGAAAAATAGACTACAAGCGGAAAACTGGTGCTTTTGAGATTCATGCCTACACTAGATTGTTAATAGTACAACTTAAAAGCGGTTCTGATTTACCGAGATTAAAAATCAATCTTTAAAGACCAATTAGTAAAATTAGTAGTAGGACAGGCCTCAATAATCAATAAAAGTGTCTGTTTTGTTTGTACATAGGCGTGTGAGTACTCCATTAATTCGACAACAATGTTTTAACCGCGCAATTACGTACAATGAAACCCACAGAAACATGCAACCTTCCTTCACATTCAGCCAAATAACACACACACATAATTATGCATAACATATAGCATAACAACATATTTAGGTATATTTTTGCGATCATACTATAACTAGCCAATACGATATTTAGTCTACTACTAGAATTAAAAATAAGTAAAAGTTATATTTTCAGGATGATTTCAATTCAAGGTGTGAATGCCAATAATCATTGATGGCTAAAATAGATACTTAACTTAAAGGAACCAGGTACGAAAATAGCCGTCTTTGGCCTACTATGAAGAGGTTGCCGAGATATTCTAACTTATTATTGGCGTCAAAACCTTGTGTTTAACTATACAATCCAAAGTCATCAACGTGAAAAGATCATGAGCGGAGAAGGTTCAGGTGCACTGCACTCAGAGCATGATCGGCATAATTGACGACGAGGTCCACCGCTGCGGAACACGTACGCGCTAATGAACGGGGCCAAAAATACGTCGGGTTGGCTGGAAGAGCCGAAGTATTTAAGAGACGGTTGTTTTAGAAATACGAGACGAAGGAGATTGAGAGGGATGGTGAGGAAGGTGTCTGGCATAAAGAAGAACGAGGAATGTTGGTCCGGGTCCAGCCTCTATTTCGGTTAAGAAAGGATTCCACGCTCTTTGAAAGAGCTGACTTTGAGATGGTAGGCCAATGTCAACGATGATACAGAATAAAACACTACCCAAAGAAACCGCAGCAGCATTCATTTAGTGTTTCAAGTTAAAACAGCTTAACGGATAATAAACTATTTACATTCCTGATTTTGTGGAAATTGCGAATTTTGCTTTTCAACATGGAAAAATAAATAATAAACTTCTTTAAAATTTGCATTGCAATTTCGAATAAAAAATAGATAAACATAACAACAAAATATTCCAGGAAAACACCATAAAACTCTTATGTTTTGAAGTGAACAAGTAACGTTAGAAATAAAACACTGCATACATATTTTTAACAATGAGAGTTTGTTTATGCCAAAAATCTAAAAAGGAATATAAAACTAATACAGCTGACTATTTATTTTTCCTGAAACCATATGTTATAAATAAAAATAAATTTTTAGTATATATGATCAAAATATTAAATTTCTTTACAAATGTGAAATTAATATTTTACCAAAGAAAAAACAGTATTTTTTAAACGTATTTAATACCAAAAAGAATACAGATATAGTTTGTATATTTTGTAGGCAGTTGTTTAAAAACAGCAAATAATCGAAAACAAACGATTAAGAAACAAAACGCTTGAAACCAAGGAGATATTAAAACTAGAAATTTTTAATAACCTCATTAACATTTATAGACTACCACAGTCAAGTTAGTGTATTTCAATCGGACGGGACTTTGCACCATGAAAATGAATGGATTACTGGAAGTACTCCTGTTCACATGGTAATAAAGCAAGGATTCGAATGAATTTCTAAGTACTTGTTCCATAATATTTTTTTCGTTTAATTGTTTACTAGGAGTCCTTCCTTCTTGGTGCCCGTCGGGCTGTTGGAAGGTAAAGAAGGCCGGTGAGTAGTTACGCTTTTAAATTTAACTAAGGAATATGTTTAAATAATTTATACTTTTTCAGATTGTCTAGGCCTGATCCTTACTGAATTGTGTCCTGAATGAGCTCATAGGGAGGGCAATTAGCGCCCTCCTTTTCCGGCGCCCGGACTTAGCGTAGGATTAGAATAGATTACTGGAAGGACTCCGGTTCTCACGGTAAGACACCAAGGAATACAATGCGTTTTTAAGTACTAGTCCCTGAATTTTTTTTCTTCTTACAGGAGTCCTCCCTACTTATCCAGGGTGCCCGTCCGGTTGCGTCCGCCCGATCCTTTCTTACTCAATTGTGTACATACAAATAAAATGTATTGTGATTTTGTGCTATCTGTCATTTTTATTTAAATAATTGGTACAAATTTGTTTTCTTAAAAAAGAGCCCATTTGTATGTCATGCTTAATGAAAAACAATGACAATAATGTAAGACAATATTGTTTTATTAGATGGATTGTATGCATCAATGTATATATCAAAAGCTGTATGTACATATACATAATGGAGTGAAAGTGGAGAGATGGAAGTTTTATCATAAATGACCTTGTTCTCTAATCGCCCTTCAAACATGATAAGGGAAATAACATTGCATTCAACTAAATAAAAAGTCAGAAAGAAAATTATAACAGAACTTTATAGTTCGATAAAATGTACAAACTTTATTGCATAATTGGCAAGTTTTAATGTCTCGAAAAGCTATAATCATTTTTTTAATTTAGTGTATTATTCATTTAAATGATAATCGAATAGAGTAAACATATTAAAAGCTCAATATATACATAACAAAACAATAATCATTCGCAAGATATCGTATCGTTATTAAATAAAATGAGCTTCTATCAAATTCATTCAATATTAACTTAATCCATTACAAGTTTCTTTAAATAAATGAAGGTGTAAAATGATAACGCAAAGTAGATAATGTAATTCTGGAAAATTTAACATTAAGAGAAAATAAATCATAAGAACATCAAACAAAATGAGCTCTTATGGCGGCCTAATAATTAAGAAGTAATTACTTATTAAATTAAAATTATTTAAAGAAATACTATTGTTAAAATACTATTTCAAGCCATAAAATAGAACAAATAAATTCTTTAAATGTAATAGCAGATAAAATGAAATTACGTGTCATCACGGATGGTAAAAATAACAAAGGTAAATTCAAGAAACTTGCTATATGAGTAACTTTCTACTAAGTAAACTTTCTACTAACTTCCGTGGTAAAAGATTTCCATTAGTTATAAATATTTTACCTATTTATTTTTTTACCGATTTATTTATTTATTTTCATATACTGCTAAACTATTAAAAACAATGAGATAACTATTATGTCTATTGCAACTAACCCTGAAAATAACCTTTAAGACCAAAAATAAATCATAAGTTCTTTAATTCAATTTTATAAAATATTGAAAATATTAAATCCCCAAAGAAAAATCGGATATATATATACAGTATAATTACCAATTAACTGAAATAAATAACCCTGATCCATGACAAATATATTGGCCTAAATGATCATAATTGGCCATTTTAAATGCAATAACGACTAGAAAGTTTTTTTTGTTACATTTATTTATTATTTATAACTACAAATATTGAATAAGTAGATATTTTTTAGATGGCTGAATTTCTCTTGAACAGATAACGTTATCGAAAAACCAAAAAGTATGTACTTAACTTTAGATACTTTAGACTAGATTTAAAATTTTTAGTATTTTTATTATCTGTTGTCAGGATACTTCAGAGGAATACAACTTTGAAATTTTAAATGAGCTCGTATATTTTTTATACACGCTGTTGTAAAGGATTTATTTCTCCGAAGACGCTGGCGTTATTAAATTTTAAATTTATCAAAAAATAACGATGTTATAGCACAGAAATGAAAAGAAAAATCTAAATTTCGTTTTTATTATTATTTTCAATACGTTTAGTGATTCATCAAAATGATGTAGTAGATAAGTACTTGTAAGAGATAAAAGATGATTAACATAAAAAAATTGTGTAGTAATTTCATACACTCAACATAGGATAACAAGGTATAATAAGGTATTGAACATTTAACGCATATGTTAATTACACATACCTTATTATATCAAGATGTCCTTCTGAAACATTTAGATGTTATTGGAAAAAGAAGTGTCCAAAATGTTTCAATTAACTAAATTAAACTAAATGAGGCAAATTGAATTACAGGAGGGTGAAACAATTAAAAATAACGGGATAAAAGTATTTTATCATTATTTTATACAATGTGATAAAAAGATCAACGACTATATACGACCAACTGAACCTATAATTTCAATCTCATTTAATACAAACTTGCATATTATTTATATCCTAGATAAAAAAAAATCGAGTGTTATATATACTACCTTGAAATATAGGCACAAAAAGCAGAAAAATATATTTAGAAATATGTAGATAATTATTTTTTTAAAATACTTAAATTAGTTTTTAAAAAATTTCTCGCCGTCTAGAACCCATTGGCAAATATACTCGAACACTTGTTTAACATTTTTCGTCTAGTTTCGACACAAGAAAGCTTAAGTAAAATCATCCCTAGCCAGGAATTCAGGAAAAACTTTCAACAGTTATAACTACAGAAAAAAATTTTTATAATAAAATAGTGACTGATTATACAAATTCAAAAGACTGAAATATACCTGTAGTCCTACGCAACCTCTAGGATAAATTCACTAGTTTCGTGGTCCGCTTGACCAATTAATATCTTACAATTAATTAAGGTTTTCAGTTGAGATAAAAAGTCAATAAGGTTTTCAGTTGAGATAAAAAATTCAATGGCACGAGGGGGATTCGAACCCACGATCTTCGGCTTGATACGCCGCTGCTCTATCACTTGAGCTATCGTGACCTCGATCCCCTCGGACACCAACCTCACATCTCAACCACACCTTTTGAATTTTCCCTCCCTTTTGCCATTTTTCAAATGTCGTGTAATCAATTTGATTCTCGGCGACAAATGAAATGGATAGCTCAAAGTGGTAGAGCAGCGGCGTATCAAGCCGAAGATCGTGGGTTCGAATCCCGCTCGTGCCATTGACGTTTTTATCTCAACTGAAAAACTCTAGGATAAAGTAAATATTTTTTAAGTCAGATTTATCCAAAATTTTGTGATAGCACGGATTGGGTATGGAGAGGGGAAAACTTGAAAATTTCCATTTTTTTTTCAAATGAAATAGTGATGGAATACAAAATTCAAAAGACAGGAGTAGAATTAAATTCATAAAATGAATTAAATTCATAAAATCTCTAGGATGAAGGAATATAGTTTAAGTTAGATTTATCCAAGATTTTGAGATAGCACGAAATAACGGAAAATGCAATGATATGAAGAAGAAATATATTCACGCAACTTCCAACAACTAGCTACCTGCATACACAAAATCCAATTTAATTTGTTTTTCATTATAAAATAGTGATGGATTATACAAATCCAAGATTGATGTAGAAACAAAGTCGTAAAATCTCTAGGATAAACGAAATATGAGTTGTCAGATTTATCCAAGATTTTGAAAGAAATAGATTCAGGAAACTTCCAGTATAAAGGAAATCTGCTTAGGGCAAATTATACCTATTTCTTCTGGTCAAATGACATTATTAAGGCCATTATCGTAAGAATTGACCCTTAGACTTAATAAATTGTATAAAACGCAACCGTAATACCACAGGAAAAAGTGTTAATAAAAAAGAATCATTTGGAGGAAAATTATTCAGAATACATAATACGAAGGCGGTTGACAAAATTTTTTTCATTATGATTCACTCTTAATTGATTTAATGAAGTTTACTGAAGACGCTGGACTGGCCGGATATGCAACATCTGATTCAGAAGAAACCGAGCCATGCTGAAATTGAATATGAACTGGCCCATATAAGGAGGTTCAACAAACCCAAGATGAGATCAGTCATGCGACGTTTAGAGGCCGGATCATCCAGGCCGCATAAATATGCAGGAGGCCAGAGGCTTCTGTTCTCCAGCGCCTCGAGTAATTCATCTCGGCCCTACTTTAAACAAGGCGTGACACTAGGAAATTCTCCCGGATTATACCAGGGTTATGAACAGGCTACGGGTATCGATTGTCGGCGGATCACCTTGACACAAGGGGGTAAAGTGTGCATGTCTATTTGTGGCCGCTTAACATTCCGATCGGAACGTACAAAACCGCAATTCACGTGCAAAGTTGCCGTATGGCTATTTTTAAGAATCAATCCAGGGCAAAATGGCTTAAATTGAAAAACAGAAATGTAAAAAGTCCTATTGTTTTTCTTATTAAGGAAAATATTAAACTATAAGAAAACTTCTTAATCCAGTCTCCTCTTGTGATGTATATTTTATGAAAGGGGCGAATAACCTGGAGGCAAAAATAGGAGATCCGCAGTGCCAAGAAAAAATTAACCACCTCGTGATTTGTTATCTTAAACAGGCAAACAACCTAGTGAATTAGCCAAGGAAAAATGTTGAACCTGACTCGTTACAGGTTTAAACTAAAATGGCTTATAAACTGACTGAAATATTTCAAAACCGTCGCACTCTGAAGATTATTTTGCAGCCCAGGAAATTCCCGTCTATTAAATTCAACTTATAATAACTTAGAATATCTTGTTCCTTTAAATAATTGTGAGATTCCTCCTCGATCCCTGAGGAGCAACCCATTAAGATAGAGAAATGCTATTCGCTGGCTGGTCTGTTCTGTTTTGTGCTGGGCGCAAGCAAAATCGGCGAGAACAGGCGCATTACGATTGGTAAGGACCAAACAACATGTGCAAATTGCCCCCTATCGTTCTCATTTACTGATTTTTAGCTTGTTTTGTCTGCCGGCATGTCAGTTTTTCGCCAGAGCTTATCTACACGTCAGACAAGATGTAGATGTAGACGTAATTTTTTTCAGGGTATGGTATACTGCGCCTTTGAGAGCTATTGTATCCCCCGTTCTCTGCCTAAAGTACATCGGTGAGTCCTATTTCATCAAGAAACTTGATTAATAGGCCAGGTTATAATGGTTGAAGCTCTTCCATGGTCACATTATACATCCCAAAACATTTCCTCCTGCGGGTTAATGTAGCTCCGCAGTTTGCTAGTAAATGTGTTGGTGTCTCTCCTGCCTCCTTGCAGAATCTACATGTGCCATCTTGGATT